ATCAAGATATTATGTAACCTAATATGTATATTTTCAGGGAGGAAAGGATCATAAAAAAGTTGCAGTGTGAGGATTTATGCTGTGTAGCAGTAAGCAATGATATAAATTGACTAATAGGTGATGATTTATCTCAAAAATCAGAATTAACTTACATCATACAGCCATATCAATGAAAATTTTTGATTGGGCAACTAAAACTGTCAGCAAAAAAGAAATGTGGCGAACGATACCACCCTGAAATTGTGAGGTCGGTATTAAAACATAAATTGAACACACATATTTTAACTTCAAATAGTTAGTGTTTTATGATGGATATTTTTCCATTCATTCTGTCATTGTATACGAAGTCACCAGCTGAATATAATAACATGAGAGGTGTTTCACGTTTGCCATGTGAATCCATTTTGCTTGATTTCAGGCTGGTACTAATACCTTTTTTCACATAAATTATATACCCATCATTGCTATTATTATCTAAACATGGCTTCAACATATATATATTTATAATTTTAGATATGCCAAAAAAATTTTGCATTATTATGTCGAGTGTTTTTAAATTATTGATTTGTGATAAATAGCAATAACTTTTTTGCTACTGCAAAATTAACCACATTCATTGGATGCTTGAATATTTCTCCCGGAACCGTTACTTTTTATTAATTCTAATTTGTTTTATGAGGTATTCACATTTTGGTTTCAAATAATACTTGGCTAATAAATGTGGCTTATAAAAGTGACTTTTATACTTATATATATAAAACATACATGCTTAGATGGTAGACAAAGCCCAAGCTCCAATTGTTGTAGGCAATTTATTTCAAAATACCGTAACTAAAATATAATTTTTTTACAGACTGCTCGAAACTCACTTTTGAAGAATGATTTGCTGTCACCAGATGGGGTTTTGGCATGGAAAACAGTATGTAAACTAACAGACCAACATGTTTTACTCAATAGCCTGAAAAAAATGTCTCCTAAATATCCAGCACAAGTACAATACAAAGTATTGTTTTATATATTAATTTATTGGTATTTTTTATTGGATCTATCTCGTATTGAGTATTTAAGTACTTGGAGCATGGTTATTATTTCTAAAATTACCAACAGTATTCAGGTCATTAATAACAGATGAACCATGGAAATTTTTCTTTCTAGGTTCTTCCTGCATCTGTTGCTGAGATTTTAGAAATGTCTGAATTTGAAGCAACCTCTCAGGTATTGCAAACTGCAGAATACCTTTCTTAGCATATGCGGCAGCACTACTAACGTGCCCTACCGTAAAAACGGAAATCTACTCTCTCTGAAACATCTTCTGTAGACAAAAGACTGCAGTGGATCAGCCAAAATCTCATAAATTATTTTACACACTGAAAGTCTACAACAGGATTTAAAAAAAAAAATGCTAAAAAACCGCATGCAACTCATTTTGTACTTATATTTTTCTGTTATAGGATAAAAAAAAAAAAAAATTTCATTGCTTCTCCAACGTATGAAGGGCTCCAAATATATCCTATTAGACCGAACATCTGTCATCGTTCTAGCTGCTGTTTTTCTTTAATTGCTTTCGTATTCCACACTTCCTATTGTCCATCTTGTTGTTATTATTTTGGCTGCAGCACTTTGCGTATACATTTGCTCTAATTTTTTGAATACTTTTTCAAGTAGTGTTGTTTCATCTTGACATTCAGTTACATTGTTTAATTATTAAACAATGTAACTGAATGTCAAGATGAAACTTTAATACATTGAGGTATTCGCACATGAATGATTTGAAAATCTTTTTCTTCTTTATCAAGTGTCAGATGTTCAATGATGTGATGATGGAAATAAATTTCAGCTGCTTGCATTTATTGAGATAACCATTCCAATGTTCCCCATAAGCATGTTTCGTTATGAAATCTTTTCTTTTTGTCACTTCCGTAAGCGTAATTTTTGGACCTCCTGAAGTATGCGCACCAAGATGGTGCACAACCTGAACTCAGGTTGTGTACCAGGTTAGGGTGCAGATTGTGCGACATCTTGGTGCGCATACTTCAGAAGTACCTAATTTTTAAGAATATGAGTTTATGACTAGCGGAAATTCCTTCCCTATGATAAATTATTCTGATAACATATACTGCTTTGTAATCTAAAATTTCGATTTCTTCGACTGTGAGATTGGTGGTTATTACGCTTTTAGATTTAGTATTATAGGCAGTGCTGCCATCGATATGAACCCCAAAATAAGGACTGGGAAACATAGTACAGTAATTAGATAACAATGGATGAAATGTAATAAACAGAATGTATTCATGCAGTGCGACCCTTGTATAATCATTGACTCTTGGTTTGATTTAATTTCTTGAGCAGAGTCCTTGTGCTTCTGGGTTGCTTTGTGAGCAGAAATTGCTGCTTTACCTATGGATTCCAGGTCAATGTCACATTCACAAAAGCTTCAGTGCGCAAAACACTGGCCATTCGTTTCATTTGACGCTGTTGAATGCTTTCTCATAATCATCACAGCAAATGTTTTTACGTTGGCTCATTTTATATCTTATGAAGTTCCAGATCTAAACCAAATTCAAAGTTTAATTCACCGGTATATTCATTCATAAGGACACATGTCAAAATAAGGACGTTTGTTAAAAATAGTGACAAAAATATTTTCTAAGACAAATGCCTTCAAAATAAGGACAAATCTTAGAAATAAGGTCGTTATGGCAGCCCCGATTATAGATCAAGCGGAACAAAAACTTCTGCAGAAGGTACAATACTTGAGATATAGTGAAACCAAAACGCTATGCTGTTGAGTTTTTTTTTATATAAGGTGCAAGGTATTCATTTTCGTCACCACTTTATCTACATCTGACTGACATTTTTTGCAATGCATCGCATTTTTGATGCCTTGCTTTCCTTCGACAAGAAAGTTGTCACATCATCCTGGTCATTTGCAAGACAGGCTGTGTCTTCATTTTCACAATTATTTGTTCATTTTTATCAAATTCTCCACGCCGTCCAGCAAATATTTCGATCAGTCATCAACGGACAGGTCGAGTTTGCGCGCTGTGATGCAGGAGCGTCGTCGTCGTTAAGCACCTTGTCTGAACCTACCGACCGTGACGCCCGCCACATGGAGGTGCAACATCGCCTTCGTTTGTTTATTATACGGCGAGCGGAGTTGGACATCTAGTAGTAGTATATATTTACACCCTGTACCGTAAATATATACCGGTACTACTACTAATGCTGCATGCCCCTTATCTATAGCTCAACTACTCGCCTAATTACAATATTTATTGCAGGAAATATATTATTCCTTCTGCAACCCCCATAAAGAATTTCACAACCAAAATGGAAACAAACTATTAAAATTAAAACTTGAAAGGAAAAATCCAATATAAGTGGAATGTTGCACCATCCAGATGGAAAATATAAACCGTGCATGTGAGAAAACATTAATAACAATTATGCGTATGCGAAAGTCACTTGAAATCCTTGTTCACAGCAACAGACTGATTAAAAACTGGGTATGCGGGTTTATTAAAGTGTATTATGGAGAGGTACTCTTATGTTATGCCAATTTATCCTTAAAACATCAACAGCATCAACCTTTCGACGTTTAAATAACTGATACGACGGTATCAAAATCGGTACATGAATTGCCCGGTCGTCACGTTCCCGTGACTTTCATCGGGTGACGTCACGACTAAATAGGCAGTTTTCTGTTTGTCTCATCAGTTCCGCCGTGTCCAGGTGTCGTGAATTCTATGGTCATATTAACTAATAAAAAGGGGGCTAGCTATTACTTGATCACATAGGCCACATGAGAGTGATAAATGAAGGAATGCGGAAATACGTAAATAAAAATATCGATCGAACAGTACAAACTTTGGCCTACTGGTCTGGTGCAGTAGTCTGGTAGTCTGACTTTTCACAACCTGACCTCACAAATTTGGTAGTCTACGGTAGTACGGTACCGGTACAGTCAGACAGCTAGACAGCATAAAATGCTGAAATGAGAGTTAAAAGGTATAAATCTCTGAATAAAACTGCTATTGAAATTCATTGTCACACCGACTTTAAACGAATTCAGTGAGAAACACGTTTTGACAACATTCTGACATTGGCAGATTGGATATTTTGTTACAGGATTTTACCGGCATTTGAGCCGCAGTTTGCACACCCCAGCTCTAGATGTAAAAATTGTTAATCTTAAAAAGGGTATATCGACAAGCCGCTGCAGAAATACGCAGAACTGCGCTGTTTCAAGTCTGCAAGCCAATACATCTAAAAACTATTAGATGTCTGGATACTGGATGTAGAAAATAACAATTATACTTGTACTCATAACTTAAGTTCCTCACTCAGAGAAATGAAATAAACGTTGACATATCGATAATGATTTGAGGAATGATTTTGCAATATTATGTTAATTTTTATATTGTATAACTTAACTCAGTAACTAGATCTAGAGGTAGAAAGAGGGTAAATTATATTGACAATATTTACTCACATTGCTGCGTTGGCTCAAAGTGCTGAAGTGAATTGTTAATTAAAAAATTGAAAGTTCACCTAGGCTACATCAAATGCTTTGACAAGTCAATATTCAGATTTCTAAACTATTTCTAAATTGAGATTTGTATTTGAGTAGCAGAACTAGCAGAATTATCTCTTTGCTCAGGATATAAAAATTATTTGAGGATAATAATTGTTTTTTAAATACACTAATACATATGCCAGTATGTAATTTCATTTGTGAACCAATATAACTTTTGTTATTCTCACATTCTCTGGTTATTCAGTTGAACCTGTTTTTCGTAAATTGTTCAAGCGGTGGATTAGTAAAATTTTCTAAGGATTTTTATTGATCTCAATCTTAGTGTGTTTTCATAGTTAGATGCATTAAGTGCCATTTGAGTTTAAAAATGAGATAGAAATTAATACTCATCATGGTCATAGTGAAGATTTGTAGTCTTCAGAGGTTATTGCTGTATAAGTATTGTCTTTTGCTGAAGTTTTTTTATATTCAATGTTTTATACAGATATTATTACTGTGTATAATGCGTGAATGGTAAACTAAACAAATTAAAAGTATCCCATTTATTAGAGGTTTTGTGATATCTGTTTTATTAGGAGTTTGCTGAAAAGGAAATGGCCATGGGTGACCCAGGCAATACTGGAATGCAAGCTCTTATTCCACTTGTGAATAAATTACAGGATGCATTTGCTCACACAGGTATTTCCTAATATTTTTTTATACGTTTATTCACTTACTTTTCACTTTTGATTTGAATTATGGTTTACGGCGTCGTACTTCAATTTGACTGAAATGAGGCAGTTTATAACTTTCATATACCTACAATGCAAAATATATTTTTCAAATATTAGTATTATTACCTAATACTATATAGCAGGGCTACTCAACTGGCGGACCGCGGTCCGAATCCGGACCTTTCAGATATTCGATTCGGACCGTGTCTGATATTTTTTCTATTTTGGAGGATTGTCTCCATTTAAATTTGGATATGTAAAAGGATGTTGAATATTTTGCGGTCACTTAGTTTTCCCCAACTTGCGTTTCCTTAACTCTTTAACCTAAAAGATAGAGTTACTAAAATATAGTTAGGCACAGTATGAAATACATTTTCTGGCCAGACCGGACCCCAGGAATTTTCAAGTTTTGTATACAAACCTTTAGCAAAAATAGTTGAGTAGCCCTGCTATAATTATAGCACCGTACATTGGAAAAGGGTAAACTAACTTGAATTTGTGCAATTGTTCGTGTGACTTTGTTATTAAAGTCCTGCATTGCGGGCTAAATTTTTATAATTGCATTCATTTTGCTCTTCTATTCGGGACATCATATAACTGTTGTCTGGTATTGATGGATTGTGGCTCATTTTTTCCAGGTTTTCACTTTTGTTCTGGGATGTTTTTATTTTGGTTTAAATCTTTATTACATCAATATATTACAGGCTCAAGCTTGAATATCGATCTTCCACAAATTGCTGTCGTTGGTGGTCAGAGTGCTGGGAAAAGTAGTGTTTTGGAAAATTTTGTTGGAAAGTGAGTAAAATCTAATCAAACAATAAAATATTTCAAATTCTTATTTATATTTACGGTATATATGGATGAACTAAATTGCTAAATAATATTCCTTCCCATAGGTTTTATCATTTTTTATTCAATATTATTAAGCATTTGAATAATTTTGAAGTTTTTTCATGATTGCTATTCTAAAATCACACCTGTTAGATATCTTTTTAATGACCTGAATTTGCAAATCACGCAAGTATTTTCTGAGTCATGCGATTTGTTGAAGTACCACTATAGTATTATGAATGACTAATTGCATATGTGGAAGTGAGGAAATACGCTCAGTTCTTCTATTATTTCTTTGGACTCAGTATGTCAAAATCTGATTTTTCTAAAATAAATTATTTTGTCCTTGCTTTTATGCTTATGATAAAAACCATTAAAATGACATAGAAATGTCAATTCCTATTCTCAGAGACGGAATTTATTTACTGTGATATGGAAGTGCTTTTGCTGCTTTATTAAATTTCATGCACAAATTTTTGCTGTAAAATCTTTTATCAATGGAATATAAATATTGATCTTTGAAATTTCAGAGATTTTCTTCCTCGTGGATCTGGAATTGTTACTAGACGTCCACTCGTTCTTCAATTAATTACTTCAAGAACAGGAGGTACTGTATAAGAAATAACACCAGTGATGAAACTGATGCCTAAATATTCAGATTTTAATAATGTTACTTAATGATTAGCATTAGCGTGAATTAATCTTTGATTGTTTTTCAAGTTCAGAGCAACCATTTCAAAATATTCTGCCCAAATCTGTATAGGGCCTCTATGATAAGCATTAACGTTGTTGGGAATTAACCATGCCGCTTAAACTTCTGTTAGAAGGTACAAAGTTGATCGTGTTTCATGATTTCTTCTCAGTTGCAATTTTGCCTAGGTTTCAGGTTATGGCATAAACCTAATTTTGACATTCAGTTGAATAGGGGTTTTCCTATTTGGAAGCAACAAGTATTGTATTATTATTCCAGGTTTTCACCACGCTATTCGGGGCTACATTGGCATACATAGTTTTTGGTTCATTAGTTTTCTTCCTTTGGTCAAACAGTGCAATCAAATGATTGTGCCTTGAAGTCATGACATGGATGATTTTGGAAACCACATGCCTAAAGCTGTTTTGTGTGTCCAATTTAGATACAATTACAATAAATCATTTTGATCTAGAAATGATATGCTGAAATCGTTATTTCACAGCAGAAAAGGAAAAGTTTTGCTTAAATTTTGTAAATCTCATTTATCCTGATTTTGCAGTTACTTTTGTTAGGTAGATGTTTTCATTGTGTTTTCCTATATTTGATTTAAAACAGCATATTGATGGACCATCTGTGTAACCCCAATAAGCAGATACATTTTCTAAATAGTCATGTAAAAATATATTGATTTGTAAATGTGATTTCCCACAGGGAAAATAGGTTCACTTCATTTCGTGCTACTTCAACTATATCTGAGTGCACAATATTGGAAATTATTGATTTTCTATATACCGGACAACTTGTTCTTGATCTTACCTGGATTGCTTCTTTTCACATTCCTGGAATAAGATGGCCTTGTGTTATTCTTCATAACTGTCATTGATTTCAGTGATATTGAATTTTGAAAAAAAAATCCAATTTATTATATTTCAAATATTTGGAAATTCAATCTGTTGAACAAGCATTTATATTCCCATGAACACCTTATTAGTATTCCTAATTTCATTTAAAAAATTCATTCAAATTTTTAATATCTGGTTAAAATGGTTTACCTACCGTATATATATTAAGCCAAATCAAAAGTTGTTCACTTTTTATTTGGTGACATTTACGGTACATCACAATCGGGGATCAAGAATTTGAAATATGGAATATAATCATTTTGAATCAATCCAAGTATTCGATTCGTTCTGGGTATCCCTGGACACAAATTCCTATTTCAGTTTTTCTCATCCTTTTTACCAAGACAATTTTTTTCAACATTAAAATTATCTGACTTGTTTATTTTGACTTTTTCATTTTCATAGCATGTTTATGATATGTACAAAATTCCATATGATTATATCGCCGGATGAGAATAGAATGAACCTAAGTTATATTATTTGAAATTTAACTTTTTTTCAATATTTTGGGGTTTAGAACAAGTAGTCATGGATTTTTCAATCTCTTGGTATGAAAAATGTTAGCTTCACTTGGAATGAAATGTCTTATAGAAGCCGAGAACAGTATAGGCCTTTAATCTGATGGGATGGACTTAGGTCTTTCAACCCCTTATTGTATTTACCACCGTCAGAATATACATATGCCCATTTTATGCCAAAGTTTGGATTCCAAGTAGTCTCAATGAAGAGTGGAAAAATACCTGTTAAACCGTGATTGTCTATTTGATTAATTGTTTTGTAAACGATTGATGATGAGTTAGACTGCTATCATACCTTTAAGCACATATTAGAAAAAACGATTATCCAGCTTAGTGAATGTTTGAAACAATTATTATAGACACTCGCTATTGTTTGCAAAAAAGGGCTATGTGCTGTAAATTTGTTTCAGCCATATAATACGCGAGCATTCAATGCATTCATCAGATATATTTGTATTTAACTCTATTCAGTCTTCAGTCCTTGATATGTAAAATAATCTATTTATAGTCCTATTCGATACAAGTTATTCCAATGAAAACACAGCAGAATCAGATGAATTGAATCAAAACTTTTATTCGAAAATAATATATTCAAAGCTCATATCACTAAATATTTGTTCAGTGCAACTCAGGTCTAAGTAGCATGCAATGACAGCAGTGCATCCAACAAATTTGATTATTGTTAGAAACTGAAGTCATTTTGGGGGTTATAAACAGGAACAAATCAAAGCTGAAGTGCTAAAAAATGTTTAAATATAATTATATAAAGATACTCTCAGACACATATCAACATGACTTGAGCTCAGATCTTCAATAAACATACATAAATATATATTGAATAATATTGAAATTCAAAATTGTTTTTAGTGATTTACTCAAAACCTAAATTTAGGACTTAGGCCTAGGGACTGGTAATTTATTTTCTTCTATACATCTGAATAGTTTGATTCCTGGTAGTTGCAATTTATACCGTCATACCAGAAGTTTTCATTTTCCATAATCTCCTATTACTCTTGTTTGTGATGATATAATCTATCATTTTGAAAATATAAAATAAATTAATTTAATAATAAATTAATTTGGGAAAAAGTTAATTTATATTGATTGTATGTCTTCAGTGTGAATAATGTGAAATTTGAGGGTTCTCGTTTGAATAATGAACAGGTGATTAAAAGTGGAGATGTGCTGACTTATGGTTTGTGACTTCACTTATGGACACCTAGATATAAGGTTGTGCAGAACAAAAAGTATTTATGATTATGTGACTTATGTCAGAGATAAAATTATAGGATATCAAACTATTTTGTTTTAAAAATACTTGTTGAAAGTAGCTTGCTACCGAGTAATGTTTTATTTGATCCAAGATCTTATTTCAACTTTTGTGTTTCAGAATGGGGTGAATTTTTACATTGCAAAGGAAAAAAGTTTACCGACTTTAACGCAATAAGAAAGGAAATTGAGGATGAAACTGACAGAATGACTGGAAAAAATAAAGGAATCAGTCCCATTCCCATCAATCTGAGAGTTCATTCACCTAGAGGTAAATACAATTTGGATGGGATGTGATCTGAACTCATTCGTGTTTATTTTGGAAGAAAGCTGACTTTATCATGCATTATCCCAATTAATGGCTCCTCTTCTTGTTTTCAGCATAGTAGGGTATGTGTTTATTAAGTCATTTTAAACAGTTAAAAGAAGACAATGTAAACCACCCTGAAATGAGCAGAGAGCCAGTATATTATTATTAGACTATTGCAGATTTAATATATTTAGATATGAGATGACTCAAAGACACATGGACCCATAAATCTGTTAATTACTTCCACAAAAATGAAGAAAATTGATTAAACAATTGAACATTCTAATTTTCTTCTAGTGTTGAATCTCACATTGGTTGATTTACCTGGAATGACAAAAGTACCTGTTGGAGATCAGCCTGCAGATATTGAAACACAAATCAGAGAAATGATAACACAGTTTGTTGTTAAAGAAAACTGTCTAATTCTTGCAGTCTCACCTGCTAATGCTGATCTTGCAAATTCTGATGCTTTGAAAATCGCAAAAGAATTTGACCCTCAAGGTATAATATATTAAAAGTGCTCAATAAATAGTGCGCTGATATTTTTACTCAAAATTTTTTCCCAAGATCTTTCGGGCTTTGCTCTGAGGTTAGTTTACCTGATTCTTGATTGAGTGAGCGTGATCTTGATTCAGGCAAATTTCTTTACGAATATATAAGTTTATTGTATGCTATATTCATTACGTTTGGTTAGGAAACATATTTTTTTTTTGTAAATATTTTTTATTTTGAACATCAATGAAATAGTTTTATCGTACTCTCTGTAGACAGGAACTTTTCTGAATCCTCATCTTCACATAATCTATAATATTAAAACACTTTTTCTTGTCTTGCCTTAGAGGCAAACTAATTGTCAGACATGGGAATGATTTTTGATTTTTTCAAAACTACTTATTGTGTTTTCAAATGGGCCTATTGTTTGATTCTTCAGGAACTAGAACAATCGGTGTCATCACGAAACTTGACCTAATGGACGAGGGAACAGATGCTAAAGATATTCTGGAGAATAGGTTACTACCACTTCGAAGAGGTTTGTTAGTAATATATAATACCATTAATTAAAAAAGAGGAATTAAATTTTTTTTTTATATTCTAAACCAAAATCTTTCCATGAATCATTGCTATTAAAAAAACACTATTCTAATAAGATAATCAAAATTTATGTTTATTTTCTGTGAAATTCCGTGTTTTCCTATTCATGATAAATTTGACATACATCGGTATTTTGCCATATAAGTTCATCTGTTGTTTTCGTGCCATGATGTGTAAGTGGTGACTACTGCATAGGCCAAGTCTTTGATCATGACAGTTTTTACCATGATGTGTTTCCTAATTTCAAGATTTTCAATGTGCTTATTGAATATGTATTGACAGGTAAATTGATTAGTATATTTGACTAATGTTTGATCAATACACTTGATGCTCATTGATTATTCAACATTTTTCCAGCAAGAATGTTTATATGAATTATTAATTGTTATTGTTATTATAGTAAATATCTTTTGATAATGACATAAATTCTTCCCTTAAAAATTCCCACGAATACGGCTTAAAACAGTTCTGGTAACAAATAACTAAAATTTTTATATTCCTTTCATAGGGCCTATCATTCAAGAGAACATTTAACACTGAAATGCATGAACCATTTTGAGTTTTTACTTATCAGGTACCTGCTGATACCTTTACATAAAGGATATAAATTTCAGGGATCTGGACTTTCTAGTCTTCTAATGACCTACCCAATTTATTTTGTTCAACTCTTGTTCAACTTTTGTTTTTGACCACAGTGAGGATTTCTAGAGTAACTGGGTGTTAATTAAAGCATTCAAGCTCTGGTTACCCAACATTGTCTCCTAAGGTGGATTCCAAGTTACAATAATTGAATTATACATTTCTGATACAATTTTGTATTCTTTATACAGGTTACGTTGGTGTTGTGAACAGAAGTCAGAAAGACATCGATGGAAACAAAGATATAAAAGCTGCACTTGCTGCCGAAAGAAGATTTTTTCTGAGTCATCCTTCATACAGACATATGGCTGATAGAATGGGAACTCCCTATTTACAGAAGGTTTTAAATCAGGTGGGAAATTATTTGAATATTCATGCACAACCAAGCTTGAGTTGCTTATTAAGCCTGGAGTGAAAGATTGGCACAATTATAACCTATATCTGGTAAACTGTTTGTAATTTGAAGATATGCGTTCTTGAAACAGAAACAGGTACTATGTACAGTCTAATTTATGATCGCTACGTAATAGTTATTTTAACATGCAGTCTGCAACTTCATTCAAGGTCATGACATAAATCTTGTATTGTTTTGCTTTCATGCAGGAAATTTTTTGGATATTATTTCGAAATTTTTCTTTTGTGTTATAGTCAAGTTATCTATATTGTATTGTGTTTAGCTGGTTAGGCTAGTTTTTGTTATTGACACCTCATTAGTCTGAATTTTATCTGTACTACGCACTATATAATATTAAACATCTCACCAATGACATTAATTTGAGCCATGAAACAGTGTCTGGTTAGGATATTGATGGTGTGGTACTCATTGATATTTAATCATCTTGCATATGTAATTTTATAATTTTTCAATTTCTGATTTTAGCAACTGACCAACCACATCAAAGATACTTTACCAGAACTCAGAAATAAACTTCAAAAACAAATGTTAGATATTGAAAAAGAAGTGGAAGAGTATAAAAACTTTCAACCAGATGATCCTTCACGAAAAACCAAAGCAATGTTACAGTATGTTTCCATATGTTGATACTGCTGAAACGGGAAATTCAATTGTTTGAATTTTTGCATATTCATTATGAAACACCTTTATAGCCACTAGACATTATTTATATAAATGAAATTGAAATTCTTTATTCTATTATTAGTTAATAGATGTATTTCTAAGATTTTATTCTATTTATATAAAAAACAGGGCTGGGGAGCGGATTAAGAATCATCATGGTTCCAGCTGCAGATCCGGAACTTCATTTTTTTTTCAGAGCTGGACTCCAAGCTTCAGTTCCAGCTCCATAGCCTAAGCCTAATATTCTAGGGTTTTATTCCAGATATATGAAAAACAGGGCTGGAGAGCGGGTTAGAGATCATCAGGGCTTCAGCTCCGGGGCGACATTTTTTGCTTCAGATCTGGACTCCAAGCCTGGACTCGTAGCCATTGATGTTTTTTCAGTCTGACCATTGCCAGGAAACATGAGCCCAAAATTCAAAATTATTCTTAAAGTGCTAGATATACAAATTTAACCTCCAACTTATAAATTAATATAAGAGATTGAATTTGAAAAAAATATTAAAAACTGAAAAGGATAAGAGTGTATTATTGGTATGAAGTTTAAAAAAATTAGAAACGCATATAAATAATTAGATAATTAGGAGCTGAAGCAACTAAAATTTCTGGTAGCCATGGCTCCAGCTTCCGCCTTGCCTCTCTGCTTGAAATAAGCATAAAAGCTCTATTTGTGTTAGCAACAAGTTACATTTTTGTATTTTACTTTGCAGAATGGTTCAACAATTCAGTTCACAATTTGAAGAAAGAATTGAGGGTAGCGGTAGTCAAATTGATATGAAAGAATTATCAGGAGGAGCAAAAATCAATCGTGTGTTCCATGAAAGATTTCCATACGAACTTGTCAAGGTTATAATTTATTTTTTGTTTGGGAATATTACTCTCTGTTTTCTTTAATGCTCTAATTACTAAGCCATTTTGTCCCTTTGTCTTCTCATAAGTATTTTTTTTTCATTTCAGATGGAGTGTGATGAAACAACACTAAGAAAAGAGATAGCTTACGCCATTCGAAATATTTACGGTATCCGGTCTGGTTTGTTCACACCTGACATGGCATTCGAAGCAATTGTGAAAAGACAGATCGAGAAACTGAAAGTAATATTATAAAATTTGGTTACAAGAATTGCATAATATACAAATTTTGTGTCATTATTACTGTCTTATGTAATATCAGATAAAGCCAATTTGCTAGTTTGGATTGGAATATTGTATTTGCCTCGTGGTGAATGTTTTAGAATTGTCAAAAAGTCACCTCATATCTGATATTCTCATATCTTTTACAACATTAGACTTTTTGTGTCAAGATTAGGAATGATCCTAATTTAGTACTTTGTAATTTCAGGCTCAATATTCATTGATATCACTTTTCACAGGCTCCCTCATTGAAATGTGTGGATCTCGTTACAACTGAATTGATAAATGTTGTCAGACAGTGTAGTGAAAAGGTAAAAGAAAAGTTATTTTAACATATCTGACATGATGAAATTTTGAGATGTATTTCCTCATCTAGGAAATACTTTAATAGCCTACTATTTGATATATTTGAAAAAAACATTAATTATATAAATCTTGTTTCAATTATGTTATAATATGTTTGCATGGATGATAATCACAATGACATGTGGAAATATTGAAAAGAAATGAAGCTGCTTCATGATTATGTGTCAGCATGATCTTTTTCTATTAATCTAAAATGATAAAATGTTTATTTTTCACTAGATGGGAAGATATCCTGTTCTCAGAGAAGAAACTGACAGAATTGTGAGCACTCATGTAAGAGAAAGAGAAGCAAAATCAAAAGACCAGGTCAATGAAGCTATTTAATATTTATCCCCGGGAGAGATAGGACTGCCTAATTGTATGGTGAACCATGTCTCCTTGTCCGCATTGTACGATTACCAGTTCATGTTGGATATGAGATTAGCTTGTTCAGATGCATGGACTTGATGATAGAGAATGCTGTAACTTACCAACAGTTTCATGAACCACTCAAGTCTCTAAGTCTGTCTCCGACGCTGAGGAAGTCATTTAAAACATATTCTTGAAAGAATTACACGAACTATGCAAAACATTCTAGCTTCTTGAAACTTTTGAGTACAATCATACACAAACAGAAGTTTAACTGTAAACAGAATTTGATAATTTACTTGATTTTCATAGAAATAACCAAGAAATTCATGGGTTCTGTTTTTTCGAGTCACCCCGTATATACTTTATGTGAATTTTACTTTCTCTTATATGATCCTCAAGTTGCTGGATGTCAAATGTATGTTGTACTAAGAATTCTCATAAATTGTATAATTGTCTAACTATACTTTCATTTTCAACAGGTTTCTCTTTTGGTTGATTTTGAACTTGCTTATATAAATACGAATCATGAAGATTTTATCGGTTTTGCAAAGTAAGTTTTTATATAAAAAATTAAATATTTTCGTTGAACTTTGCAGGTTTCAATGCTCATCAATTGTGAATTATCATACATAAACACTAACCATGAGGATTTTATTGGATTTGCCAAGTAATATGTGTGTGATAATAAAATGAAAAAAATGATACGAATTAATTTTCGTCATAATTCGTTTCTGCATGTTTCAATTACAATTGTATTTCATGATTCTTATGGTTTGTTACACAAGAGGGCACTGATCACAATTGTGGACACAAAGTTGTTTCTGACACCCTATTCATACGCTGTTAGTTGAGCACTAGCTTCTGAAAGTGGATTGCCCAAACCTGCTCCACAGTGAGTTTCTACAAAAATCCGTGAAAAACAGGACCCAGGAATTCAGGATATCCAAACAAATTAAAAAAAATTACTGGCCTCGTACTAGAGATCTCCATATTCAATTCCTGAGAATTTAAAAACGATTGGTCTAAAGAAAGTTAAATTTACAGGAAAGGGCATTTTTTGTCTCAACAACAGCAAAAAAATGAGTAAAACAATCTATATTCGTCTTCATGAGCATTCGAATGTTTTCTTTGACCTTTTTATATCACATTATCTTTTTGTGCTATTTCTGTAACAAAACCATGGAAATTGCATTTTGTGATTTGCTCTGAATAATTCAAACTCATAGTCATAATCAAGTTTTTTTATTTTTACAAAATACTGGCACGATATGTCACCACCTGTTTCTCTCACTCTTAAAATGTAATTATCCGAGATTCAAAGTGTGTAATATAGTTATCATGTAACTTTCTATCAATATTTGCATAAGGCAACATTTCTGAGAATCCAATCGAAAGATTTTTTTTGCTATTTGCGAATGACAGAGTGGCATTTTTCAGTAGAATATCCTTCGTAAATCATTTGAAATGAAGTTGCTTGTGATTGAAACCCACATTATAGCATGCTCGATTTATAAATGGACGTTTTAATTCATTTAGAATGTAAATTCTAGATAATGAATGTGATTGACAACAAATTACATTTAGTTTACACAGCATATAAAATCATTGAGTTTTTTCGAATAACTGATTCAAAATTTGATTTGTGTAATCTTTTTTATTCCAAAGTAAATATACATTGCATTGTTATATTATTTGTGCATACAGTACACTGTGTGTATATCTCTATATAGAAGAGCATTTAATTTTACTAATTAAGGGTTTGTAATTAGATATTTCTAATTCAAAATAGTATTTGACGATCGCTATGTTTCATTATTCTACCTTATATTGTTTTTTCCATTATAGGACTTATGTTTATTTAATATTAAACATATTTCTTGATATCATTCAGTGCTTCTCAACGCGGAGTTGACAGAGGAACAAAGCAGAAAAGTGTTGGGAATCAGGTAAATCTGGCACATTTTCGCATAAGTATATTATGTTTCAAGCTTCGTCTCTTCAGGGTCCTATTACCTGTACTAATTTTAGTCCCTATCAGATATCATTGAAAAAGAGTGAATTTTTTTTTTGGTTTGCTTATTTCCTATACGTGATAGCTGGCTTATTTGATGTGATTAGCCAATTGCAAAAACAACTGATCTTTAAAATCATTTCATCTTTATTGACTTTGATAAATCAATTTGATTAATAAATAATGCAATATTTTTGTCATTTTTATTGAAAAACATCAATTCATTATTATTTTTTAGTTTGTCAATAGAAATAGAAATAGTATGGAATCTTATTACGAAGCCTTGAACTGTACGAGATATTTCAGATCTTACCAAGAAAGTTAGGTAGCTCGGAGTCCCTAGTTATACACACATAGCCCTTTTTCATTCAACGATGTTTATATTCAGGATGGAAAAACTTGGGTAATTTATTGTCTCTCGTTTACAACTAATGAATATTCTTTTTTATAAAATCACACTATTCTATATAATTCGTTAATTATATTCTTCGACTAGGTCTGTTTATTTGCAAATAATTGCTAAACTTACCAGTTGTTCAAATCTTATCAACATTATGCAGTGTTTAGTCCATTTTTACACTTCAGTATTGTTTCTAATTGAATGTTTTTGAGTTGATTGCTTGACAAAGTCCAACATTTATTATGACTTTTCTGTAATTAATCCTGTAAATTCTGTTTTTTTTTTTTTTTTCAAAAAATATATAGATTTATTTTTTTAACAATAAGTTTTAACCTATTATATTATATATATTGATGTTATTAGCTAAAGAATGTCATTGCAATTTTATAAGTCATTTTAATAATTTAATTGGAACAAAGCTCTTTTTATTAACAAAATTTCAATGTTTTTCAATTTTATTATTATATTATTAAAAATAAATATGTTACAATTGCATGGCAGTAACTTTTATATATAATTTTGTGTTGTGCAAGAAATTTAACTATTCTTATAAGGATGTTTTTTCCTTACTGAAACTTCATTGACCATCAACAGCTGAGAGTTGCCGTAATTTTTTCAATACATTTATTCCGGTAGGAAAATACAATCGTGCTGAATTTAGTTAGGAATGTGTGAAAAAATCAAATGGAATTAATTATTGAAAATTCAACTGTAATAGTAATTAGTGCTTTGTATGTTAAATCAATGCCTTCTTAAATTTTAAGAAACAAAATCTAGGAATGTATAGAATTAACTAATTGGATACAAACAACCTTAGAGGGTATTGTTTTGGAATATCTTTCGATAACTAATATTTGGGAAGGGAATCTACCCCAATTTTAATATTTGATACGATTTTATTAAATAAAATCTATTTCTGTTTACAAATCATTTGTAATATAAAACACACCACATATTTTCACGACCAGTTCAGAACTTACTATTAGTTTTACTTCATATTCTGCTTAGCGCAAATTAGCTTTCTGTGACTTTTATCAAAATTTTTTTGAAAATACTTTCATAATTGTAATTTTTACTTTGAACTGAATGAAATTGCTATATTTATAATTAATTATTTTCCATGTAGTTAACATTTTATTAGTCACATGTATAAATTTCCAGAATTAATATTTATGATGTTTGTCAGTTAGGTTAATAGCCTATAGATTTTTAACTCTTTTTATTTTTTGTACTCGCTAGTCTGATTTTATCCCACTTGGAACACTGTGTCCATAAATAACTATGCTAAGATGCGGAAGGGTGATGACTCCAAATTTATTCCGAAAACAAATTCTAATTTTTATAAAAATTCAACATGCACTTATTCTCATCCATTGCAGGTTGTTAGAAAAGGATGGTTGAGCTTACATAATGTCAGCTTCATGAAGGGAGGTTCCAAAGATTTTTGGTTTGTTCTGACGGCTGAATCTGTCTCCTGGTACAAGGATGAAGAGGTGAGTATCATCAGTACTTTGCTTCAATTGCTTGCCCGTATTTGTTTAGGCATTGCACTGCTGAGGTGGAATACGGTACCTGCATTCATATTTCCATCTTTTCGCTATTTTACAGTATTCTTAGGATTTTAACAAAAATCACAATAGTTTTTTGTTTTTCTTGGGCCTTTTTTACAGTTTTGAGCTGGATATATTTACAGAAGGTGACAAAATAAAAACAGAACCCAAGTCACTTGGAATATTCTAGACTAGAAAGAGCACAACTTCTCCTCTGCAAACCATCCCGAATTTTTGGATACAATAATACTTGAACAGAAGTTCAAGTGTTGAATAAAATTTCTTCATTTTATAGAAGTAATTAAGAAAATTAAGAATTCTGTTTTTGGATCACTTTACCAAATTGATGAGCTGTCTTGAAATAGTTTTCTGATATGCTTTATGAAAAATTTAATATGTGTTTCTGGTTCTGTTTTTCATTGATTGGATTCATTTATTATGTATATTTTTTAGGAAAAAGACAAAAAATACATGTTACCACTTGATAACATCAAACTTCGTGATTTGGAAAAAGGCTTCATGTCAAGTAAACATGGATTTGCTTTGTTCAACACTGAATCAAGAAATGTTTACAGAGATCATAGGTAGCTCTTTTTATTATTCCAGTTTTTTTTCCCAATTTCAATTTTTAATGAATATTCTGTATTTTTATTTATAGTTTGGGCATTTCCACTTTTAGATGTTCTTGGTTTATTTTAATGTCAATATCTGAATAATAATTTACTAGAGAAAGATTAAATCTGGCATTAAGAATTTTTGGTAAATCAATCTTTTTGGTTGTTATTACTTTAGACAGCTAGAATTATCGGCTGAAAATCAAGAGGAAGTCGACAGTTGGAAAGCTTCATTTCTGAGAGCTGGAGTTTATCCTGAGCGAGTTACAGAAAAGAAAGAGGTAATTTGAAAAGTTATATATTCATGGTTTTCATATTTGAGTGCTTAGTGGGTTTATGTTGGTGTGTATGGAAAAGTCTGATGTTATGTTTGTATTCTAACTGTTAGATATTCTATTTTCATTCTCCAGTTAGGAAATAACCAAAATTATTTTGGTCATTATTGAGGCACAAGTTGTTGTATACCTTTTTGATCCACTAAAATGCATTTTTAAAACACCTATGTTTTCATTTTTTTCTCACGCACTGCTTCGATTCTTTCAGTTAGTCCTTATGGAGCCAGTTTGTTGGTGCATTTGAACTTGAACCAAACTCCAAACTGTACCATTTTTAAATATTATTTTAAAATTATTTTGAATATTGTAGCCATTATTGACGCTTGTACTTCATGTTAAATTTCACAGGCTTTATTTTTGGTATCATTTTGATGCAAATTTATAATTTATATTGATTCTAATGAAGATCCTTTCTAGAATCTGCTATAGTATCACCAATCTTATAAATCTGAACGTTTGAAAATGTGGTGATTGTTTTATGAATCAAATTTGATGTTGCTCTTGGTGTTGTGCTACGAAAAATTTGAGAATTTCTGATTATTTATTGTGCATCCTGAATGTTATAGCATTTGCATGATTTTATGTTATATTTATTTTCATACAAATTTTTTTTTGATATATTGAATTTTTTCTAAAAACTTTGTTTTATCGGCCCAACCGTCACTTCACACAGTCAGCTTTGGAAATAGTTCAGTAAAAAGAAGATCATTTGAGGCATTCGATCCTATTTTATTAGTTGATTGAAATTATACCAAATTGTATGGTTATAGTTCCATTCTGAATTAGTATCCAGGGCACAGAACAAAGTTTATATTTGATTTACTCCAGCTATAGTATTTCTCAGGCCCAAGCATGATAATGTACAGCATATTATTTAAAACATGTTTATTTATGTTTGCATGGGTGCCAGTGATGGTCACTGTTTGTATTAACTTTCATTTTCTTTTCTCATTTTGGCTCGTTGAATTCTCACAAATGTTCAGGGTGCTAAAAAGGTATGTTCTGTTATTTGAGTTTTGCATGTTTTGCATGGCTTGCCATTATTGATTCGTTTTTCTTATTATTAATTTTATTATCATAGTTGATTTGCATTGATTTTTTGCATTGTCATATTAACAAATTAAAAAATGAAGAATGTTTTTGTTATATTGGTTATCTTCAGGATTGACCAGGCTTGTTTTTCTGTCATCTGTCATATCTCTGTGTTTTATATTAACATTGTGAGTTCATCTTCATGCACCCTGATAAGTTTTACTTACACAGCAATAATAATCTCCCTGTTTTATATGTGCTTCAAGTTCTATTTTACTTCTATACTGATTTCCCACTGGACTTTTCATGTGACTACATTTTTCCTCTTCTCACTATCATTTTGCCCAATTTTCCCACTAGTTTGATAAGATTTGATACTGGCATGGCTGTATTCATAGCTAATAGTGATGTGATTAGATCACATATTTTTTCTAACCGAACTTTGTTCTTCTTTTGAAAACACAGGACGGATCTGAGGTAAAGTGAATGTAATGCATGATTTATTGTGACACACTTGTTATTTTACTAAAAGTATGCATATGCTGAGTACCTATTTCTGTGGATATGTGAAATACAAAAGTTTTATTTTATTCTCCTGGTGAAGGATATGTAGAGTAGCACTATTTATTTGACAGCACTCTGTAGTTGTCTATATGTGTTTCTAAATAAATTATATTTACCATAGTTTGCATGTGAGTAATTTGCGGCTTGCTTATGTTGAGATGTAGCATCCTGACTTCATGACTTCTCTTATATATTATGTATTGTAATATATGGGAGTTATTCATAAATAGCCTACTTAAGCTTGGTAATATTTTGGATACTAATAAAAACCAATATTGTGATTCGGGTATTCTTGTTTTTGAGGTTTGTTGTTATGCAAGGCCATGCAACGATCTACCATTAATTATATTATACAAAATTAAGAAGATTCTCTTGATTCCAAGATCCTAAATTTATTCATAATTATGCTCGAATGTTACTTGTTTGACCAAATCATTTACTGATTTTTCGTGTAGCTGCTATCTAGGATATTATTTCTTTTCTTTGAAGGTATAATCCAGCAGCATATTTGTGCCAATGTTATTTCATTCTAGCGATTCTCAATTATACCAATTAATAGAGTCCAATGTCAAAAATCATTGAATAAATTAATATATTATATACCAGAATGTGTTTGGAAATATAGCCTAAATTGAGCTTCATCAATTACATTCTAATATAACAGTGGTTGGCATGTACTACTGGGCTGAATGTGCACATTGTTTGCAGACCGCTGTATTACGATAATGATTGTGTCTGTATAATAATTATACCATACTGATCAAATTTGTCTGATTAATTCAAGCATAAAGTAAAATCAACTGCCAATATATGCAGGAAAAAAATTCAAAATTGGAAGTAATTGAAAGTTTCGATGATATGTATTTTTGTTTCATATAAAAACATAATGATATCTATGAATGGTTATTAATGTTCCTATACAAAATAGATGAGACATGCTTTATCAATTTCATTTCTTGTTTATGATATTGAAACTCAATATCATGACAAATAGTAAATTTAAATTTATGTTTTCTGTATTTGATTTAGATTCAGAACAATTTTTTTTTGGTGATATGTTATTTGTTCACCTTTTTCAGAATCATTTGAGTGAATTATAAACACTCAATTCCCATCTTCTTTAGATGTGGTCTATTTTGATCAGTTTTAGAAACATACTATATTTTGCAGATTTGATGACAGATTACTGAACTTTTTGTTGGAATAAATATATATATAAATTTGAAGTAATTAAATTTTCAATCAATCAAAGTAATTTTCCAATCACTGTATGATCAGTTATAATAATTACCGTATGTATCAAATCTGTTGTGAAAATTGTAGTATTTGAAATTCTACCGAATCAAACTCATTTATCCATTTGCCTAACCTTTTGTCTTTTGACTTATGTTACTGGTGTTAATTTTCACCTTGGTAGGAGGAAGTAGTTCAAGAATTGTCATCATCTGTGGATCCTCAATTGGAAAGAAAGGTTGAAACTATTCGAAACCTTGTCGACAGCTACATGGCTATCGTTAGTAAAACCATTCGTGATCTGGTCCCTAAGATCATCATGTCTATTATGATAAATCAGGTATTTGTTTTTCTTTTATTCAAGTTACCAGCAAGAGTAAAATATATTGTTCTAGGTCAGGAGTGTGCAAGACAAGAGAAAAGAATGCGACTATCGCTTAGCCTTCCGGTATTTAATGCACCGGGCAAAACGGTGAACGATTTTACCCATGTGAGAGCCTCTTTAAACATAAACTGTCGGATTAGGATTTTATGCTTGATGGGGAAAAATCTGAGTGTTGACAAGGGCCACACTAAATGGCTTGGCAGTTCGGGTTGTGGCCGTGCCGCCTGTTGCGCACCCCTATTCTAGGTGATCGTAAATATTCTCATTGACACTGATTTTGTGAACTCAACTATGTCGGCATCCCGAGTCAGAAATGTTGGGTTCTGGTAATAAATTGTGTACACAATTGCAAAATAAAGTAGTGTTTTACATATCAGTGGCTGCCACAATGCCTTGTGGTAGTGGAGGGCCTGTGAAAAGCGTCATTTGAAAATGGCTGAAATATAAAATCTTAGGATTGTAGAATCAATTTTATGACTCCAATGGCTGCTAACTTTCTCTTATGAGTGTACACTTGCCTCCTCTCAGTAATTATTTTGGGCTATACAAGCTAGAATGATCTGTCACTGAATATTTTATAAATATTGAATGGGTTGGGAAATTTCTGTAAGAATACATATTCAAATATTGTCTGTGATTTCATATAAAATTTCCCAATTTGTTCTTCAGACAAAAGAGTTCATTACTTCAGAAGTACTGGCCCATCTCTATCAGTCTGGTAACCAGGTATGATTATTGATATTATATTCTTATTTTTATGGCTATCCTGTTTGTTTATCGGAAGCAAAATTTGGGCCAAGTTATATAACTTCAACATGTGCTAATAATGCTACTTACCGCCATTTAAACTTTTCTCTATATGCCATATTCAATGTAAGAAGATTTTGGAGGAAACAATTATTTGTATAATAGCTTATGTTCTGTATTTTATTTTTTTTTGGCTAATAGGACGATTTTCGGGATGCAATATTTTGACCCGATTTTCGGGGTCATCTCATTGGATACTAGGCCCTATTTTTTTTCCGTGTCGACTTATTTTATTGCATAAGCCTTCTCAAGCATAATTAGCTATTTGTTGATATATTTTATAATCTATTTCATCCCAAACAATCTGTTATTTAACTTTATACTGCCAGCTGTTATTTGTCTTAGTTTTTTTTAAAAACCTGGTCACAATCATAACTTGGCTAGTGTAACGAAGCACACTCCTCAATGATGGCCGGTGGCCGATATTGATACTTCAGAAAGAAAGCAGTGAATACCAGATAAAAGTGATTTTGACCCTCAATAGACAGCAGTTAACCTATGTACATACAGTGCTGTACATAACACACCTTATTCCCTGGTTATTACAATGCTCCACTCCATGGGTTGTTTAGAACGATTGCTGCTATCTCCGCACCTTTTGTTGGGCAGAATGGTTAATTCCATGTGTATGGTTCTAACGAAATAGACATGACCTGGTTCTAATAGACTTGCCATATAAAATTATGAGCGGGCATTGATGCCCAACTGATATACAAAGAAACTTTCTCAACTTATCGAACGGTAATATGGAAAAGCTTTTTAAATTCTAAAAAGGTCCGATTTTTAGTGCTAAAAATTGACCCTGTCTTATTAGCTGGGAAATATGGTATTTATATCCCGAATTATATATATCTTGCTTTAGAACACAATGATGGAAGAATCTGCAGAGGAAAGTGAAAGGCGTGACACTATGCTAAGAATGTATCATAGCTTGAAAGAAGCGTTACAAATCATGGGAGATATAAATATGAAGGTAAAGCATGAATAATAAACTGTCGATTTCTAAGAAATTGAGTTAAATTGTAAATTAGACAAAGTTTGCAAAGTGAAAAGTAGCATTTTTATGAATTATAAATTGAAGAAAATGTTTCAGGGAGGTAATTAAAAACGATGTTTTGGAAGGTTAAGCATTGTGGATGTTGCGGATAATCTGTTACAGCTATTCCACCTTTTTGTTCTTGCTTTTTCGAGTAGCTTCACATTTTAGAAATGGATGTTAAACGATTAATATGATAAATTAAATTACCCTGATGACTGATTGTTTTTGAACTCTTTTTTTAATTTTTTTGAAGACTGTAGCTACCTCGTTACCACCCCCAGTTGACAATTCATGGATTCATGAAGAGGCAGCAAATGGAGGAACAAATGGACCTAGTCACTCTACTAGACCAAGGTAAAAATTTCATATAGCATTTATTAAAAAAAATTGAAATGCTTGATAGATGTGAGCATGTGTTTTCTGGCAACGAGTTGATTTGTTGAAGAACTCCACTTAAGGCACTCCACTAGTTTGTGTACCAATATGGAGGTAACTAATTTTGTTCGCCTAATTTACATCAAGTTGTATAAAGGGACTGAAACTATGGGCAGGGGGTATATTCACTTGGCTAATACAGACAGTCCCCGAACTCGTAATAGAACTAAATAAAGAAAATCGGAAATAAAATTATGGCCTAACCCTAACCTGGTACACACACTACAGGAGTGCCGAACATTCTAGGATTAAAATACCGAATTTTAATAAGTGGCACACTGTTTTTTACTTTGTAATTTGTCTTTTTGGAAGCTTGTCATTTTCTCTCCCGGTGTCACATAATTGACTTGATTAGAACTTCTCTTAAATTTTCTTAGACAAAATAATATTTAGATCTTTGCATCTTGTAGTTTTGTCCGAATTATATTCATTGTAATCACACAGCGAGGTGTGACTTAATCAGATTCATCAAGATTATTCAAAAAAGTTCTCTGATTATTGACTTTGTTGAAAAAATACAGTAGAATTTTTGTATTGTTATTATTTCAGCAACTTTAAATATTTTCAATAAGTGTGGAAAGTCTTCTCATTTGTTCTTCTTGTGTATACTATAATTCAAACGGCATGTATTACAGAATACAGGACACATGAAAAATAGAAAATAATAGTGAAAATCTTCGTATGAAATAGATATCATGATGGGTTTTAGCGGCTTGAACAAATAAAGGGAGATTTTTCTCCCAATTTATGATTTGAAACACATATATGCCATTATTTCTGCAGTTTAGTTTTACTGATCAGTCTTCCTCAAACCTTTCAATTAGTTTCAATTATACTTTTGAGAGGATTTTTATTGATTGAAGTATAATGATTGTTTTGTCCTTTCTCTCGATTAAAAATCTAAACCAAAACAAAGATCACAAAATATTGCACCTTTACCACGTGAACGAAATGTCAAAGATACTTTGAAGAAATCAGCAAGTTCTGAAAATCTATTGGACAATGAATCATCCAAACGGAGTAATCCACCTATAAAGCGTTGGACAAGCATGAAAGGCCAACAAAATAAACTTAGGTGTTGTTAAAAATTTTGCCTGGGTAGCATGAAACTTTTGACATGATCGATTCATTAATCCTTTATACTGACCTATTTTGAATGTCATTTCTCTAAAATCTACAACGCAAGCTTGGAAAAAAGCTGTGTGGTACTCATGCTCAGCTGTATTTTGGTTAATTATTAACATTTATGTGGTGATTGCTGAGGGTGATTTGTTATATTGTAAACAAGGCTACATTACTCACTCGCATATTACACTGATTGGTAACTGGACCAAACGATTCTTTATATAACAAGTTTGTACACGAATCGAGCATGCATAGGTACTTGATGCAGGCTTAGATTCATCAGTACCAGTGTTATGTTGCTAAACAGAAGTATATGTAAAAATGGTGTTATTTGGAAATGATGCAAAATTATCAGCTACAATTTATACAACAGGTTGACTAACATTGTGACAAACTACATCTAGTCCCGTAGGGGTAGCCTAGTCAAATACCTGCTTGTGATTCAAAACCTGGTTCCCCAAACTGAGTCGACCCATTGTCAACATCAATACTGCAATATTCGGAATAAAGAGTACGAAGAATCATATTTAATAACTGGTGATAATTGAAATTGTCGAATTCCTATCCTTCAGGCCTTATACACGAATGTCTGACTTAATAATCTAATGGTTATCATGGCAATCAGTTGGAATTTCAGTAGGAAAAAATAAGAATTTTTTTTCTTTGAAACTTGGTTGTTCTCTGTTTATGTGGACAAGTGGCTATAGATGCATCATAAATGGGACAGTCATGGGTTCCAAGATACAGTTCAAAACATTTGTTCTAACTAAGATTTTCTCATTACATGCTTTGCTCATTTTTGTTTTTTTATCGATAAAGATACTTTTTATCAAAATCTTTTAAGAATATTCCAATAAGTCATTTTCCTCTCTATTTCTTGTGATTTAACTCTTGCAATGAGATCAACAGCAATGCTACATGACCATCGGCTCATTGTGCTGAATGTTGGTATACGCTTGTCATTGCACCTCTGATTATCCTCACTATCCTGTATCGGGTTCACAGGCTGGGGCCAGAGGGTGATTTACGCAACCGCTGATTTTGGATTTCTCTGTCAGTCTGTGCATCTGAAACAAATGGTTAAGTGACATGGACTGATTACTGGATGAGAGACTATGGTTCATCAAGCAACGAAACTGTCTTATCGAATAAATATAAAAATCCCATCAATTCTTGTATTCAGACTGGGAATGGGAATAGTGGACTGGAGTTAGGAATTAATTTTTTAAATCTTTCCTCCTTCTGAACTGATAGTTTTTTTTACTCCCATTATACTTTGCATGAAGCATGATTTTTTAGGTTTCGATTGTTTGAAGTTTGCTCATGTACCTAGAGTGTTGATATTTTATTCAACAGTGTCAGAGGACCAAGCCCAGTTATGGGAAGACGCCCACCTCCTAGGCCGTCAAATAGTCGAATGGCACCAGGACCTCCTGGTCCAGGAGCTCTACCCTCATATAATGCTCCACCTATTCCATCTCGGCCAGGAAGCGTTCGTCCGCCACCTTCTATACCAAGGTGAGCAATTGTTTTATTCACTGAGTATTATTTTCAATTTCTCCAAGATACTTCTGTATATTTTTGTTTATTTAATCAGCACAATATCGAATGTTAAAATTTCTAGGCGACCAGCACCTGGATTGAAACCTCCCAATCTGCCAGCACGTCCAGGATATTAGTTGTCATCTCAATGTGATCAAAGATAATGGACAGATCATGAACCGTTTTATCAAGTGTGATAAATCAAGTCAAGCAATAGAGAATGATTTTCATTGATTCATGTAGTTTGGATGTTTTCTTTCTCTTTTCACTCGATAATTCACTTTATTTCAAATATTATAAGCTCATAATAGAAACAAAAATTTCAGCAAATATCTGGCTGAAGGATACCGCTGGTGGTGGTTATGTTTGACTTGTTACTGAATATTTTTTATCGTTGTCGAATGTTTTTGGCACCGGATATTCTTTAGAAAAATTTTCAAAAGAGCTTTGCCAATAGCACTCGCTCCACTATGAAACCAAATACCATAACTTATATGATTAAAAGTAGAGTAATCACTGATATGTTGATAGTACATAATTGCGTAATCCCATTAATATTTATCATATTCTAGTAAGTGTCGTTCCTATACATACATGGATCATCACTCAGTTTTCAAGTGCATGTGTAACAAATGACATATTCGGTATATGGAATTGTTATTTAATTTTAAGTATGCAAATTGTTAGTATTAATTCAGTTTTCTACATGTATAGTCAATCCCACACATTTAAAGGAATTCCTAGCAATGGAGGTTTTATGAGGTGATGGTTTTAATCGAAACCTAAATAAGTGGTTGTGTAAGTTATGTTTTGTAGCATCCAACCAAAGTATCAATTGAAAGTTACAATTACAAAGTATACTTTTCTCTACTTAATCGATTTTTTGTGAATGAATAAACTGTCTGAATAATAATAAAGGCAACATAACTTGGACCCAACTTGTAGAACATCCGAATTTAATAATTTTTTTGTGTGGATTTTCATTATAACACATTAATCAATGAACTCCCTGCAATATTCCCCTATTATTATTATGTTATTATTGTCCTTGTGATTGTTTTTCGTAGTACAGTTATGTATAGCTATGTGGCTCCGCTCTATTTTTTATTGGCGAATATTCTCCAGTATATGTTATCATTTGTAAAATAGGGATTGTGATTCTCATATTTTCAATATGAATAATATTTGATTCTTGAATTTGGAGATATGCGAAGTTTGTATTTGTATTGGATTCTGATGAGGAAAATCATTCTGATGTGATCATATATGTGAACATAAAATTTTGGACATCACACATTCTGTAACTAACATATCGATAAGCAGCTACTGTGCAAGATACCAAGCTGAATGTCTTTGTCATTTCTCATTACTGCTTATGGTGTATTTAACTAAGCACTTCAGCAATGGTTGGGCATCCATTCGATGTGGCCGTTGTTTAAATACGCTTGAATGTATTTTGTGTATTTAATTTATTATTGCTTGTATTCAAGACTGCTTTCTTATATTGTGCTGAAATTTAGTTCACTTATTCTGGTCATGAGACTGTTTGCTATGTGAAAGCAATTTTTTTTTGCTGCACTATAGATATCTTATTCAATACATCCCAAATTATTTACAATATTTGATACTGAACTGCGAAACTGAAAAATCCGAACAGGTTGTTTTAAGCTCAAAAAGGGTGAGCTGGGGTTTTCCGTTATTCTTCATTGTTTCGCCTACTTGCTATTCCTTTTAGCTTGGATTTTTTGGACATGATTTGGGGAGAGCACGAGTGGTTATAAATAGGGCCCGACTGATACTGCCTTTTTGAACCGGAAACCTATAGTTTTCTAAAACTAGGCCGATACCAATGTTTCCTCACTTACAAATATGGCTACAAGTAACAAGCAACACTCTGAAAATATTGTGTTTTTCTTGCAAAAGAAATGAAATGTTGAACTCATGCAATTGTGTGCGTGGCAAGAAAGAACACCTTTTGTAAGGGCAGGAAGCTTGTAAATCTCAATAGCTCCAGTTGAACAGTCTCAGATGTAGTTGAGCAGAGTTTTTCTGCATTGTCTCCAATGCTTTTCTGCATTGGTTCCAATCATACTTGCTCCTGTGTTTTGCTTTGAGATGTGGCCATATTTTTGAGAATCGGTCTCTTGTTATTTCTTATATAGAGGACTTGCACGGGTCACGTGACCCTGTTTACTGGACGACAATAAAACAAAAACGTCCATTTGGCTCCTGTCAGTTGCAAGTCGGATTATACGTTTCCGTTTTGTTTGGCTGTTGAAAATGGTTATTTCGTATTGTTCCGCTGGCTGTACGTATAGTATAGACAGCGAAATGGATCTTCAGTTATATTCCACTGTTTTCAAAAGATCCGGAACGTCGCGCAATGTGGATTGCAGGACTGCTCGGTGTCAAGTCCAGACAGAAGCCATCTCACTTGTGTTTCACTGTTTGCGGACAGCACTTCGTTGATGGTGAGTCATAATGTGCCGTTATCAATTTTTTTAAATATTCATAAGCTCCCTCATTTCAATGGAAAGCAGATGACAAACTACTGTTATTGGTAGGCCTAGGCCAACGACTAACATACCGGCCTAGGCGTAGGCCTACTTGCAGACTTGACTCGTGTAAGGTATTAATCAATAATTGCCATAAGGTATTGTTTCCCTAGTTAGCAGGTAATCTATTAGTAAGTGTGAAAAGTTGAATAGATAACTAAAGTTTAACGCCAGTGCTAATGCAAGAAATAAACTGAATTCTCCATCTAAGAATACGCTCGCCACCGCATCTCTCATCCCCCTGGGAGTTTCACAGGTTCCAATCCCATGCGGGGGTAGTTTTGTGCGAGGGGATTGCAGCTCTCCTCCCACTGAGGGTGGTTCACATGACCGCTGGTCGATTACGACATTCAAATTGAAAGAAATCTTCATTAATGCTCAGAAGGTGTTGTCTGATTGTTTATTAGTTAGCAGGTAATTCATTACTGATCTGATACACAAACTTGGCACTGTCAAATGATGATTAGTGTTTGATTTATTTTCAGGAAAAAGGGAAGATAACCCATTAACAGCCGCTTATATGTCCCATCGATATTTGAGTTTTCGCCATCTCCAGAGCAGAAGAGAATAGTTAGAAAAAGGGGGATTTTGAAGAAAGGCAAAAGGCAGGACCATTTCAACAAATTCTGTTAACTTGTATGCGTTGCAAATTTAGGGCTGTCCAAAATCGAATAATTTTTTGATTCGAATCGAATATTTTCGCCGAATAATCGAATATTATTGCGCAATATTAAATCTGTCTCTGTTATACAATAAACGCTTGCCCTCCGATGTTGTGGTAGCGTATGTGCAGTTACATCTTACTTACTGCTGGTATTTTGCAATACAATGTTTTCAGATTTATGAAAGGAGATCACACGCTTGTATGAACTGGTCAAAAAAATTGGAGAACTCCAAAATTTGGGTCTCGAAAACTGTTGAGTGTTAAGAGTAAAAATTGCACTATTCAAAAATTGCAATCTCAATTTTGATGGATTCAGTTTTAATAGGACATGTAAAGCCTGTAGATGCTATTTTAATCCTATTTACTAGTCTTATGTTTTTTTATGTAAATTTCAGCAAAATAATAACAACCATCAATATAGATAAAACTGTTGCTCAAGTTCAAAATTGCATTTAAAAATTCCAAGCTAGTTTGATGACAATATTATTTGATGACTATAATATTGTTAGTGTACAACAGCCATCAAAATGCAAGAGTTCAATTATTTGTCTTGGTATATTGATGGATAATACAGTAATGCCATCATAATAAATTACAAATTCCATTCAAAGAAGGTATTGCCATCATAAGGATCCCAAAACACCTGTCCCAGCTTTGAGTTGCCTGTACCATGTTCCTATGATAACTGACTCAACAGCTTCAAATCGATTCTATTTATAGAACTATGGTTTTCTAAATTGTCTCCTTTTTCTCTCTCAAAAACGTCATGACCGATTATACCTTGTTATGATGACCATGCATGAAATGGCTAATCACGTGCCACCGGGCGGGCATTAGTAATGACATGTTTATCACAGAATGAAGGCGAGAGAAATATCGTGAAACCAATTAAGCCGGGAACGAGAGTGGTCTGAGCTCGGAGCGCCTCCGCTTGCCCGATGAAAAACATCACGTAAAGGTGGTTTCCGCTTTATGTACCGGTACCTAATTTTAGCGATTCGAAAATTAGCCGAAAAACGATTAGAATAATTTGCGATTCGATTTCGAAGATTTGGTTCGCTTGGACAGCCCTATTGCAATATTACTTTGCAGTTGTTAGCATAAACATTTATTGTGTCTTTCGACCAGACCAGTGGTTCCCAAACTCTTTTGACCATCGCCCCCCTACAGAAGCTTATACAACTTCATCGCCTCCCGGCGATACAAAAAAATGTAAAGTCAGAAACGAATACATTACAGACCAAATAAGAAGACAAATCATAGTTTATATTGTTTTTTTAAAGAGATTGATGAGCTTGGTGTCCTTCAGCGAGTTTTTTATTATATCTAAAATTACCCCGTTTACAGATGGAAAGGCGATTTCGTTGTTTTGATAGCAATAGTAGCATGGCTGAAAACCCCTTTTTCACCATACAATAGGTAGTAAATGAAAGAATCCAGGGTTCTACCGCCTCAAAAACCGCCGTGTACTCTTGCCTTATAGCATTTCACTCCCTAAATTCACCCCACTTCACATTAAAATAATGAAAACAAAGGTAATTTTCCCAAACTTATATTAATGATTTTTGTACATCTCATTCATTCCTACAGCCTGATGACCTGCACCAAAATACTTCGGTAAATATCATCCCCGATTCCTTATCCTACCACGGCTTCCAGTCCATAGAATTAATCAGTCTTTTGTTTTTGGATTCATGGACTCTGATGTGGAAGAAGCCGTGACCAACTATCGTGAATCTCTGAACAGAATATAAATTTTATTTCCTCATTGCATTGCATTATATTCGAATATTTACTGCGCTATTGAACCCCTGCCCTCAGCATCAACTTTTTCCGTGATTCCATTTGTCTAATTATAATTAATTAAATTGTAGGCTCGTTACACGAGTAGCTAGCTGTTAGATAGAATTTTCAGGATATAATAAAATTTAGTCTAAACGTGTCTCACGATAAATTCTGTTACGCAAAAAAATGCAATTTACTCCTCGAGCGTAGATTATGGGTAATATTAATTCATCGTCAAAACCGCCGTTTGGATGTTTCTCCGGGCATAGACTTCTTTGTTTACTTCGTGACATTGGCCAATCAGCAAGATGCAAAAATAAACTTAACAATGCCCTCTTTCGCATCCGCTCAGACAGATTTTCAGGCGAGGTCGTGAACATTACCCCATTTTCACGTTTTTGAATTATATTCGTTAGTTTTTAGTTGTTTTTCGGAAAGGCGTTTTAGTCAAGCAATGCTTTTGCGTGTGATAATCGCCCACGTGATTCAAGCCTGCGAATTCACACAGAGTACAGAATGAGTGCACGATGCGCCGAACAAAAACAGGTTTCGCGAAATCGCCCCCTTCGAATTTTTCGCCCCCCCTCTGTATCGTTTTCGCCCACAGGGGGGCGATATCGCCCACTTTGGGAATCACTGGACTAGACCTACCACACTTTAAAAGAAACCGCCTACACCCCTTTTCACTAGAACCATAATACTGTGAAAAATTTGATAGAAATTACCCCCGAGGCATCATATCTTCCATTTAAAAGGGCTGTGGAGGCAGATACATTTTTTACTCTAAATTATGGAATGTTACTTCCAGGTTATCTTATCCTTACTTATGTAGCGTACCGGCAATGTATGAAATAATTATCCAGGTTCAGAATATCTTCTAATATGATCTGTCCTCTAGTTTCCCTCTCAATAGTCCAAGTCCTTTAGCTATTTTATGTCATTTATTAACAACTCGAACAGTAAAAGATCCAAAACAACCAAACACTCCCAAAGGAACGAAAAGCATAAAATAAAAATAACAGATACCAGGCAGTAAAATGCAAGAAAGACCACATACACAACAAAAACACTGACAAACCCTGAAATCCAAGACAACTCTGAATAAAAACCAAATGACCCCTAGAATCTGGTACAATAAACTAGCTACTGCAATTTGCAAAACAGGCCGAAAGTAACTTATGACAGGCATTTAAAAAGACTATAAACAATTCTATAGGTGCACAACATTTGAACAATACTGATGAAAGCTAATTCCATGATAAAATTGAAAATACAACACTACGTAAATGAACGGTAATGGCACTGTACTGGTAAAAACAGTAACATGGTCCCTACGTCAGCCCACTGTCCAGCACAAAACATCTGACAGTCACACAATACAGACAAACATCCCTGAAGACCAGAGGCATTCACAGAGACATTCAAAACCCACCAATCCAACCGAAACACTCAGACGAATGCACTCTGTCACACACAGCGTACACCAACAGACCACGTTGCCCCCGAGAACCGATCGACCGTGTCGCAGCGTCTAAACTGCTAGAATACCAAATATTGAAACGATATCACATGACGTCATTTAACAGATAAAACAAGGGTCCTAGAATACCAAATAT